AGTATGAACCATCTAGTTCGCTCTTTTCATCATCAACCTCATTAGTTGATGTTCCCATATGCTGCATCTTACTCAAGTGGAAGGTACCCTCTCCCCCCCTTTTTTATTTATAGATAAAGAAAGAAAAGAAGCTGGTGGGAGTATTAAAGTTGTCATTTAAGGCATTCTAATAGCATGGTGGCATGTCACCCCTCATTGAAAGTTTATGCACTTACTAATGTCGATTGATTTTCTTCACAGGCTTACAATCATTCATTATGTTCTTTGTCCTTATCCCCAGGCATAATTACTATTATACCTCATACTTGGGGAACTCGACCGACTAACTTCGCTCAATAGCTACCAATGGAAACAAATTTTGGAGACGAATATGTAATGATAATGCACATGCATCAGATATATAATGACTATTCAACCACATTAAATAAATAATTTCTATTTGACCACATCAGATATATAACTTCTATTCACTAACATGGGATGGACAAATTCTATTTGCTTAACAACAATCAAGTATTGTAAGACCCCTCTCCCAACCCTTAAGTTTTTGAACATAGGGCAAGCCTTGAAGGCTGGACTCTCTCGTTTATAACAAGATCCGCAATGAGTAGCGTGCAAGTCACCCTTGATGAGGTATGTTGGACAATATGATTTTTATGTTATGAATGCATTATCTTCCAAAAGTTCAGTCCAACGCGTTATCTTTTCTTATATTCATGTCAATATGAATAAAATGAAAGCACAAAAGTGTTATAAATAGATTAAATGTTATTTTATTACTGAAAGACCTAAGTCAATTACATTGAATATTCATAAAAAAGAACAAAAAATAAAAGTTGAGTCACTGACAACATTACTTAGGCATTGAGCGAACCCCCCTCACTCCTCTCTTCTTCATCATTTTCTTTCTACCCAAAGTTGACACTTTTGAGTGATTTCTCAAACTTTTCTATGTTTGCGCACTCTTAGGGGAAGACCTTACTTTAAACAACTGCTCCATGTAGTAGAAAATCTTGTATAAAAACATCTTCTGAAACTTGGACATTTGTGGGACACTTAATTCCAGATGACTCAAACCTCTCCAAGGGTCTTTATTTTAGCCATTGACTTCTTAACTCCCCAAAGTCTTCTTTGAGCTCGGCGTATCTGGTCTTCAATTTACAACATTCTCCTTCTAAAGTCTCTAACTCATTGCCTGTGTGATGTCGCCAAGTCTGTAGTGTGGGAAAAAGCAAGCTTCAACCCTTTCATTTCCTTTTAAATTTCATAGCCTCTTTTCTATTTAGAGAGATCCTTCATCATTCTCCTATAGGATCTCACCATGGAATAAGTAAATTGCTAGCTTGATACCTGCGCTTGAATCATAACCAATAAAAAATTACTTTTGTCCATCTCTTTTACTCTCTTCCAACAATAGTCATAATAGAAAACTAGGCCCAAGTGATAGGTGAAATGAAGCTCTTTCTTTTCCTCGCTATTCCAATTGATGGATAGGTTGACCTGAGCAATTTTTTTAATCTTCACTTGGACTCAATATCGCTCCATCCTTCTTCTTGGACAATTTATGATCGGAATCACTCTTAGGAGTACAAACAATCCTACTTCTCCTGTGTGTCAGCTTGCCCTCAACAGTTGAAACTTGAGTGACTTCCTTGTCTTCCTTCTCATGAGTAGATTCTTTGAGATGCATTTCTTGTGTCTCTTCATTAGGTTGGGGGTTGTGGGGAGGCACCTCTATGAACACTTGAGCTCTCTGATCGTTCTTAAGAGATTTGGAGTGAACTAGAGGCACTTCCAAAGCTGTAAAAGGGTTTGTGCTCAGTCCCTGTTGGCTAATTGGCCATCCCAATAGTTCGCCTTTCTCCTATATTCATTGGAAGATGTTTTCTACATAATATTTTGGAATATCCCATCTCCCCTCTTCATTGAAGAGAAATAATTTTTTTGGTATAAGCATTAGCTTCTTTGTCCCCTACTTTCAGATGAGAACATCAGAGTGAGACAAAAATTAAATATCATGTGTATCTAAGTGATTGTGTCAGCCATTTTATTTCAATTATTGTATAGTTTATGATTAGAAAGCTAGTCTTTAATTCACTAAGTGATGTAAAAGAACAAACAATTAACTTCAAGAAACCCCCCTAAGTTCGATAGCTCACTCCTCAATCATGGTCTGAAGCATTCAATCATTTCTCCCTTGTACTGTGGCAAACATATGAGCTAAAACAACAAAGAAAACATTATAATAAAAAAAAATATAATCCAATTTAAGGTAAATAAATAAAACACTTAGGAGCTAATATATTTCCTACTATGACGACGTCCAAAAATCTTGTCACGTTGAGATCCACTTCCTTTATATTTGCACAGTGAGTGATTTCTATTGTGGATGTTTTGATAATGCTTTTTGCGAGGCAAACACACTCAAACCAGTTTTGATCGACCATCTCTTCTTGAAAGAGATGAAGTATAATTTCATCTTCTAGTATTTTACCTTATTATAAAGACCATAACACTTTACTCCAACACCAAAAAATTTAAAAAACTCGTACTTATAGGCCCTGATGGTTAAAAGATCTTTGAAAAGGTCAATTGATCAAAACACCTCCATTCTCGTCATGAACTTGATTAGCATTACAGTCCCAACAAAGGAGTTTGACATGATCTAGGCTGAGATAACAAGTGAGAAGTACATAATGTTGATCGGTTCTTGACAGAGGCTCACTATCATAGAGGGTATCGTAAATATCTTTTTTACTCACCATTTGGAGGCAGATGAAAGGTTCAAAAACAAGAACAACAACAATAAATAAACATGAATGAACATGATTGAATCCGATCCTCTTATTTATAAGAACTAAAGAGTCCAAACTTTGAGGGAATGAACATGTCATATAACAATAACAACAACAACAAATCTTTATGCCATTAAGTGGGGTCAACCACATGATTTTTTCTCCACCTGCCATTAAGTGGGGTCAACCACATGATTTTTTCTCGACCGTGTCTCATTGAGTGTCATATTATCATTTAATTCTAATAAATTAAGATAATTCATTATACAAAATGCTCAAGTCTTTTTAGGTCTATTTAAATCTTTCTTAACATAAGTCTAATCTAAAGCCTCTATTCTTCTAACTGGGTCATTAGATGGTTGATTTTTAATTATGTGACCAACTATCTAAAATGATTCTCTCTAATATTGTCTTCCATTTGAGCTAACTCCAACCCTTTCATGAATATATTCTTTTTGCATTTTATCTCTAAGTGTAAAGCCTCTCATCCACCTAAACATTCTCATCTCATCAACAAACTTTATGCTTTGCTTTTAAAAGGCCAACATTCTGTGCCATAAAGCATCGCAGGTCTCACCACCATCTTATAAAATTTTCTTTTAAGTCTCAGTGGTACTTTTCTATCATACAATAGGCCCGATGCATTCCTCCACTTCAACAATCCAACTTGAATTCTACTAATAACTTCTCCATCTTTGTCACCATCACTTTGAACGATTGACACAAAATATCTAAAACATTCACTTCTTTTAATGGCTCCATCACCGATTGTTACTACTACTAAAATTACATTCCATGTATTCATTTTTAGATTTACTCAAATGAAAGCATTTAGACTCTGAAGTTGACATCTATAATTGGTGTTTTTCCTAAACTCTCTCTCTCTAGTCTTATACAAGAATGATATCATAAACAAAAAGGCATAGATCAATGTACATCCTCTATTAAATGTCCAGTAAGAACATCCATAACTATAGCAAAAAGATAGGGCTTAAAGCCAATCCCTGATGTAATCTAACTGAAATAGAAAAATACATGATCAATCCTCCTTGTGTTCGAACACAAAAAACAGCTCTAGTATGCATATCTTTAATGACTTAATGAGTAATCATGTTATAAATAACATTAATTTTAACAATAATTGAATTTTTTCATTCTCACTTTTTTTTTTTTGCACCAAAAAATTCGAAGAGATAGAGAATCAATGAACTAAACACATACAATAAAAAACAACCATATTGGGCTAGCAGAAGTCCATGTAGATTTATTGGATCTTTTAACAATTTTTTCAAAGATTCAGTTCACTTATCAGCCAAGTATAAGTAACTAAGTGCAAGTTGGTGGGCATGATTTTCTATGAGTCACCATATTTAAGCTATTGACCGGCGAGCACCGTTCTAACGAGACAAATCAGCGAAGGATCCATTCGACATCTCGTTGTCTCACCAAGGATTGTGCTATCATCCTCAAATATTCCGCAAAATATGAGCCTATTCACTTTAGAGGCGAGATGGCCTTCAGGCGAGTTCTAAAGTAGGAGGATGAACACACGTTGGATGTGACTCGATGAAGTACGTAGAGAATAGAAGGCCAATACGATGATGATATGAGATAAGAAGTTATAGATAATATAATATATATATGCCCGCGACAGTGAATGATAGATCTGAGCAATCATAAATCTTTAGAGATATTAGTGTGATCATCACACATGTATATCATATAGGAAAATACCGCTATCTAAGGGGGATAAGTTAATATATAGTGGAAAGACCATTGAACATTTACCCAGAGAAATAACATGGTCTTCCGTTACAATTCTCTCTCTAGCTCACTCTTTATGTGTGGGTGCATGGATAAAACAAGATTCAACAGATAAGATTCTGATAAAACTAATAGTTTTTTTTGTTCATTTAAAACATGTTTGTAAACTTATGATTTGATTGGGATCAATTTTCTTTTTTATATATTTTTATTTTTATTTTTAAAAAAATTACATATTTTTTGAATCATTTAAAATTGTCTTTTAGATATTTCTTTTAAAAAACGACCATGTTTTATTTTATTTTATCAAATATTTATTTGTTTCAAAGTAAAAGAAAAATAAAAAAATAAAAAATAATAATGATCTCAAATAGCTGGTTAGCATTATTATTATTTTTTTCTTTATTAGCGAACATTTTTTTTTTGGATATAATTATGCAGGTGAATACTAAAAGGTGCACAATCATTTTGAGCGGGGTCCAATTTGGTTTCCTTGGCTGCTTGAGCACTGTATCTACCTTTGTTGCAGAAGTCTATGCCATGAGGCATAGTGGGCACCCTGGGAGAGCTCTATCCTATGCATTATTGACTATCCTCCCCTCATTTGCTGCAGGAATTCTCATCTACTCCATACCAGTATGGACAAAGCATTACCATTAGGTACATGGCCCCCATGACTGAGTCAATATATTATATATATATGGATAGAGCCGCGTTCCCATTTCAGTTGGATAGAGTTGCATTCCCGGTCAGTTGGTAAAGCATTCGCTTTGACAGTGTAAGTCCCCTCTGGTATGTGGTTCGAACCCTGCCTCTGACGACTGTTGCCTAAAAGGAGGGGGTACTCGAATATTTTAGGCTCATGGGGTCCTGGCTTGTGCTACCTAGCGATGTTGGCAAAGCCCAAAGGAATTAGTTGGCAGTTCCGCCCTCCGAGCAATTTTTAAAATTATATATATATATATATATAACTTTTGCCTAAAAGGAGGGGGTACTCGAATATTTTAGGCTCATGGGGTCCTGGCTTGCGCTACCTAGCGATGTTGGCAAAGCCCAAAGAAATTAGTTGGCGGTTCCGCCAGCCAAGTTATACATATATATATATATATATATGGATAAAGTTACTTATACTTGCAATTTTTCAGTTAATGTTAAGCAAATAATTAAGCTTGTAAAACGTTGAAGTTCCATTTGGCTTCCGAGGTCTGGTTTTTATTATTTACTTTTTAGATATAGCATTCTTGTGGTGAAATAATAGCTAATTAGTTCATGAGTTTCCATGCCTTCTTATATATATATAGAGGTATTTCGTTTGATCCGCCGTTTCAGGCTCCTCCGTCTTCATTGATTCTTCAACTCCTGCGTTCGCCAATCCAGATGGAGATAGTTCCATTCAGTTTGGTAATTCTTTGGTAATTATCTCAGTGGTGGGCCTTTTGTCATGTTTGCAATCAGCTGTTGGGATTAGGTTTGTGATAGACAGAGAAGAGTGCTTCTCCCATGACGTTCCTTATGAAGGAGATAGGGCATACTGTTCATGTTTCGTTTGTTGTGATTAAGTCTGAAACTCCGTGGCATTACGGCAATGAGGGCGTGGATCTCATGGTGAAAGATCCATCTGGCAATCAAATTCATGATCTTCGTGATAAGATAAGCGATAAATTTGAATTTACAGTTCGGAAGAAAGGCCTTCATCGCTTTTGCTTCACCAACAAATCTCCATATCATGAAACAATAGATTTTGATGTTCATGTTGCCCACTTCACTTACTTTGAAGAACATGCAAAGGATGAGCATGTCTCCTCTCCTTGAACAAATCAACAAGTTAGAAGACGCTCTTTACAACATTCAAATTGAGCAGCATTGGCTGGAGGCTCAGACCGAACGCCAAGCAATTGTAAATGAAGGGATGAGCAGAAGACCGATACACAAGGCACTTTTTGAATCTGCAGCACTGATTGGAGCCAGTGTGCTACAAGTATATCTTCTCCGTCGCCTTTTTGAGCGAAAGCTTGGAACCTCTATGGTTTACGCAACTCAGGAGACTGCAACTTTATCACATGTTTCTTCTCTCTTCCATACCTCTGACTTCATGCATAACAAATGAGCATATTATACAGGGAACCTTCATTCAACACTGGCTTGTCTTTTTGGCTTGTTTCAGTGCTTCCCTGATCAAATAATCAGGTAATTATGAAATTTCGCAGTTTGTTAGATGTTTGTCACCCGTAATTATTGCTGGCTTGCTTAGTGACTAAGATTATGTTTGTGGCAGCAATATATATATATATAGAGAGAGAGAGAGAGAGAGAGAGAGAGAGAGAGATAAGAAGTTTTAATCATGGAGTCAAAATAAACATATTCATCTTGAAAAGGTCATCCATAAGACCATCCAACATATATATGATCTCACAATATGTAAATATCTAATAATATATGTTTTTATGATTACACTTTCTAGGGTTGTTTGCTGTTCATTTCTCAAGCATTCATCATCAATGTGTTCCAAATTTAGTTTAGTATTTTATAACATGATTTAAGGAGCACTATTTTCATCATTATATATTATTTTGAAAATATCCTTAGTGAAAAATATAACACAGAGAGGGCGAGGGGATTTGAATTTGTGTAAGTTTTTTTTGAAAAAAAAAATATTACTTTATTTTTTTATTTTAAGAAAAATAATAAACATCAAAGTGAAGCTCTTCTAATTAAAGTAGTACAACAAGAATGATAGTTGTTTTAATTCATTAAAAACTCTTTAACTCAAAATTTCTCCATATTAAAAGTCTTTTCCTAGCTATCTCAAACACCTTTCTAACCTCATATCATAAGCACACTTAGATTAACACATTACAGAGTATATTTAGGAATTTTTTTTTCTATCTTTGAAATTTTACATCCTATATCATCTCTACATAAATGGCATGACATGCTCTTGATTACTATTTCGCACTTGGTTGGAAATATGTTACATATTGAACCACTATAGAAATGCACTATTATGTAGTTATATCTATTACTTAAAAAATGTGTTCTTTTAATTATTTTAAGTGAAGCACTTTTTAAATGATATGTGTTTTATGTGTTTGAAGTTGAACTTCATCGATTGCATTTTTTTTATTTTGCATATTCATGCATAGACATATCATACATTGCATTATTACCTATATAGTTGCATTACATGCCATTTTGTATACATGCATATATACACACTTATTTACATACTTATAAATGTTGGCACTTTGATGGTAGAATTCCTTTAGATGAGACATCAACGTATGATTCTAATGTGTTAATGAGTTTTTTTACTACTATATCTCATTAGATAATACAAATGATCACATAACAACCACAGTTCATATGATTGGATTAACAATATATGTAATCTTGTATGCATCACTTTCATTATCTAGACTATATATAAGGTCAAGGATGGAAGCACAATCCCTTCGAGTATTAAATTAAAATCATTCCTTCAAATAAGGCCTACCTTTTAGAACATATGAAATTTTTTAGGATTGTGCAAAAATTTCTTTAAATTGTTATTCAAGCAATTGCTTAATGCCCCTTTTAGGCATTATAGTTTCATAATGCTTTTGATGTAAACTATCTATATCATATTTTACTATTGCTCCCTAAGTTTTTCAACCATATAAATAACATTGGGATTATTTTTGCCAACGAGATCTTGATATGAAGTGAAAATCTGACTTTATAAAGAGGCCAACACTATCATTTCTTCCATTTTTTCTCTATCCTATTAATATGCTCATACTTTGCCTATAGTTAGTTTAGAAAGCTTGGTTTGGGTTATCTGCTTGCCATTTTGAACTACAACATTATAGGAGTTTGACTCCTAATATAGCTGCTTTTGAGTAAACGATCTTTGTGTCTATATTGCAAATACCTCCTCGTCCAGCTTGTCATTTTTAATAGGATTAAAATCCACCAGAGTTGAATGATCAATTGCTAGTTTGTTCAACCTCTTTTTTCCTTTTTGCATCTCAACAAGCCTTTCTTCATTTGTTTTTTATGCTCGCCTTTGAATCCTTTATTATTTTTTAACTATGTGTTTAGAGATATAGTGGAGTTTAATAAGAATAGTCTACCCTTAGCTATTGTTAATTAAGGATTTTTTATTTTTCCTGTTTTTCATATGCTACTTTGGCTTGCTAGAAATTTGTTAGCTCTTATTCGTAATAATCTTATCCTCAGCTACATATTGACCTATAAAGCTTAGGATGGTTGAAAGTGTAGCTATCAACTGAGGTCACTACACCTTCTGTACAATTAATGAGCTGGAGATATCAACCCATTATTATTAATAAATGAAAAAGGTAAGGAATTCATGTTACATAGCTTAATGACTTAGTTTGAGACTCATCCATAAATGAGTGCCTCTTAAACTTTGGGGGAACATCTAATGTAGCAGTCTCATTGGAGGAATATAGTCTAAATGGTAACTTTTGAGTAGTACGTAAGTTACATCGGTTGTAGCTTGGCTTGCAACTAACCAAAATTAGTTAGAATAATACAACTAGGTTAATAACTATATTTCCTAAACTCCTATAGATAGCCCTTTATTGGTCTCGATGTGTTGGCATACCGACATACTTTTAATCACCTCTAGTGAAGGTCATAAAATAATGTGAGCATTAAATCATCATCATCTCTCAAAATATATCTGAAGATGGTCCTATAGAATATCATATTTATGGCCTTATGGATCTCAACTTTGGTACGATCATCTTTGTCAACCATCCTTTAAATGATATCTTTGGACTTCATGAAGGGTTGCCACTTTTGAACTGTGTTAGAAGATTGTGGGTTAACAAATATGTGAGATGATAAGATGGCTATCGTATGAGCATCCTTCTCAATTAAAGTAAAAGAGAATCAAACTTACTACCACCAAAAGGGTGGAGAAGTTTTAGGCACAATCTCCTTACCAAAGAATTATAAGACTTTAGGCTCCTTAAGTTTAGATTCTCTTCTAATTTTGTCATTCTTCCTCGCAATATTTCAATTGTTATTCCTTCTTTGATTTCTTATGAATGGAACAAAAATGGAGGTCCACCTTAACTAAAAGCATAATAAAGGGATACTAAGGTTTAGGAACAACAAGCTTCATAATATTCTTATGAGATGCAAGGACATTGGGTCTTTGATTGAGTATACATTGATTTATGAAGTAAGCTCACAACAGTGATATATGTAAAGAATAAAACTGAGTTCGGAAGATTCTAATCATACTCAGACTTTCATTAAAGATTATTTATAAGTTGATTTCATTTGATGGTTTTATTTTGCCAAATTTAAGCTCAACGAGCAATTCAAGGCCAAAGAATCTAATTTTGATAGATTCTAAATTAATTTAGAATTTTGATGGATTTAAATTTGAATTTGATTTGAAAGGAAATTTATGGACACTAAAAATTTAGATATGATGAGGGTTCATAGAATTTCAAGAGTTTTGAATAGGCGGATGAGTGCTTGAAAGTATAGTTAGTTTTGAGTAAAATTTTGCTTGAACGAGGTATGACACTTACATTATCATAACTAATTTATCAAGATTATTTGACCACTTGAGAATTGAAAAAATTTGATAGAATACTTTTTTGTGTTTAAAAATGGCTAGAGAAACATCTCATAAATTGCTTAAACTTTTTTGAATTAATTGATTTTTTTTTAAAATTCTTAGATTTTTTTTTAATGTGTTCAAATTATTAAATATATAAAAAAATAGTTTTAGTTTTTAATTATAATAATTTAAAATTTTATTATAAATAAAATTATTTTAGCATTTTACATAATTACTTTGATTTGCATAAATTTCTTTATTTTTTTAGGAATTAATTAAAATAATTATTAAACAACTAGTTTTTCTAATTTATTATTTAACCAATTATACTAATGCCAAATATACCACAAACCCAAGTCCTATTATAATGCTTTAAAATTTATTTTTAAAATTATAATAGGGGGTTTAATTTTGATTTTTTTTAAATATTGTCTTAACATTTCTATTTTTTGTATTATTTAAATTTGACTTAATTATTTAGATAATTCGA